TTGGTTTATGGTCATCGTTTCTCAAATGGGATAGAGTGGTCAGGTGACTTGGTTAATGGTCATCGTATGTCAAATGGGATAGAGTGGTCAGGTGACTTGGTTAATGGTCATCGTATGTCAAATGGGATAGAGTGGTCAGGTGACTTGGTTAATGGTCATCGTATCTCAAATGCGTGGATGATTGATCTCAATCACTGGATTGTCTGGTCCAGATTATTCACAGACTTTCTGTCCATTAGCTAGAATGTTGCTGAAAGAAACCTTTGTTGTCGATAATAAACATATAAATCCGACTCTTTGTTAGTTTGGACCAAAACAGGGAGGTGTGAGAATATTACGCATCACTGTTAAACTAAATTGTCTCAATACGTAGGTTATATTGTCGCATCTGGTGTTGATGTTTGCTTGAACCCGGGAACATGTGATAACCTTATATAACACAGGATAAAGGTCAAAGGTGAAACATTTGATGCGTCACGTGCGTCACATGTATACAGCATGTGGAACAATGAAGTACTACCTGCAATTACTGTCAGCCATCATCGAAAGTTCAGAGTTGAGGTGTGTTGTTTTACCGACCAGGAGTGACTGAACATGCTCCGTTCGGGACCGGTCATTCATGACAGGAGTGGGTGGGCCGGAGGGAACCACCAAAAGCATGACACTGTCTAGGGGTGGATCTTTAACAATATTGCACATATTCGGGCTGCGTCATGAATAAAATAAACAAGGACATTGGGAGAGTCATCCGAAATATGACAAGAAGGAGGGAGGGTTATTATTTTCTTTTCTGAAAATTAGACATTGTAGTGCAGCTAAAGGGGTCGTTGTCAGCACGAGTACTACAGATATGTACCCCACGTATACAGAAACGTACCCTAGCCAAAATCTGAACACAGAAACGTACCGACACGTACCCTATCCAAAATCTGAATGCAGAAACCTACCCTATCCAAAATCTGAATACAGAAACATACCCTATCCAAAATCTGAATACAGAAACCTATCCTAACCAAAATCTGAACACAGAAACATACCCTATCCAAAATCTGAATACAGAAACATACTCTATCCAAAATCTGAATACATAAACATACCCTATCCAAAATCTGAATACAGAAACCTATCCTAACCAAAATCTGAATACAGAAACATACTCTATCCAAAATCTGAATACATAAACATACCCCATCCAAAATCTGAATACAGAAACCCCTATCCTAACCAAAAATCTGAATACAGAAAAACATACTCTATCCAAAATCTGAATACATAAACATACTCTATCCAAAATCTGAATACAGAAACCTATCCTAACCAAAATCTGAATACAGAAACATACTCTATCCAAAATCTGAATACATAAACATTCCCTATCCAAAATCTGAATACAGAAACCTATCCTAACCAAAATCTGAATACAGAAACATACTCTATCCAAAATCTGAATACATAAACATACCCTATCCAAAATCTGAATACAGAAACGTTATCTAGGGCAGTTCCATACAGCGTTTTCAAAATTTTGTTAAGTGTACATTTCTGTACACAGAAACGTATCTGGGGTACACATCTGTAGTATCTGTGTCAAAATTGACCTCTTCAGCATTGGTGCATCAAAACCCTCTGACCATGCATCCCTTCAAACTAATGGCCAGTAACGTCTATATGAACTTGACTGGCCTGTGTGAAACATGGGAACAGGACACTCCCTTTAACCTGTCTGGATACAATACACTGAGTGTGTCAAGATAGAAACAAATTGGATGTAGTAGAGGAGAAATAGCATTCCTCTACAAACAAGAACTAAAACGATTCATAAAGCCGATATCAAGCAGTGTGTTCTCACTTTGGATAAAACTTGACAAAGCTATCACTAACTCTAAGAGTGATATCTCTCTCTCTCTCTCTCTCTCTCTCTATATATATATATATATATATATATATATATATATATATATATATATATATACATTCCTCCGGACGGATCATCTCTCTGGTCCAAAATAGACTCTTACCCATTTGACACCCTTACTGAGGAAATAGTGAAATATTCCACACTGGGAGACACTGTTATAGGAGGAGACATCAGTGCTCGTACTGGCGTGACTGATGACTTTATACCTGATGACTGTTCCAAGTACATACCATTTCCTAGTGAAATTGTGTCTGAAATTGGATTAACGACAAACTGTAAGTTAACCATTTTAAATGGAAGGACAACATGATATGTTCTAGGCCAATTGACATGCCACACATATAATGGTCAGAGTGTTGTTGATTATGTTTTAGTCTCTGAACTGCTATATCCCAAAATATCAGGTTTGATAGCGAATGTAAGCAGGCGAAACATTCAATGGAAACACTATATACAGACTTTAACAAGGAACCTGAAGTCCAATCAAAATTAAATGCACTTCATGCCAAAAATACATAAAAAACCCATCGCATTTTTTGAAAAAAACCCAAACTTTGATAAACTCTCAAAACTGTCCGACTCAAATCCCAAATCCTTTTGGCAAGAATTAAATAACATAAAAAATACCAACATGCCGACAGGACAAGTGGAACCAAACCCGTCAGATCTGCTAAATCATTTTAACACACTTTATAATTTAGAATCGGCCCCAAATAACATTAGTCACGAAAAGTGTACTAAGCATAACAACAATCTCTTAAATGCAGAAATCAGTGCGAATGAGGTTAAGACTTGCATAAATGAACTTAAATGCAACAAAAGCACAGGCTTTGACAATATTAGTCATGAATTCCTGAAATCAATCAGCCCTGTAATAATAGATCACTTCTGCAAACTGTTTAATGACGTGTTTAAATCAGGTCACTTTCCAAGCATATGGGCAACATCAGTCATCACACCACTTCATGAAAAAGGAGACAAAACTGACCCAAATAACTACAGAGGTATTGCCATTAGCAAAAGCCTGGGTACGTTGTCCTGCAAAATCCTAAATAACATCTAGAAGAAAACAACCTCTTACATCCATGCTAATCTGGATTTCGCAAGGGCTTTAGAACTTCAGACAATATCTTTGCTCTAAAAACTCTAATTGATAAATATAAACGTCAGCGCAAGAATATTTATGCTTGCTCCATCGATTTAAAAAAAGCCTTTGACACAGTTGACCGAAATCTGTTGCTCAACAAACTAAATATGCATGGACTTAATGGTAACCTGTTACAGTCCATATACTCCCTGTACTCAAATGTAAAATACCAGCTAAAAACATCACAAGGGGTGTCTATGCCATTTGTTTTCAAACACTGGTGTTCGACAAGGATGTACATTCTCACCAGCACTCTTTAACATATTTATAAACGATATACAACAATATCTACAACCATAAATACTAAGACTAAAACTTAATAATATTCAAATATGTCATTTATTATTTGCTGATGATTACCCCTTAAATTGCAAATACTGTTGAACAATGTATCACGATATTGCACCATAAATAATCTGCAAATTAACCATGACAAATCCAAAGTAGTTATCTTCGGAAAGAACAATAAATGCAAAAAAAACTGTAAATGGTCAGCACAAGGCAAAACGATGGCTTCAGCTGACAGGTACACATATCTTGGAATACAACTCCATGAAAATGGAAAGTTCAAAAGTTGTATACAAGCACAGCCACAGGTGCTTATCATAGATTAAAAACATCAGTCTTTCATGATGATATTCCAGTAAAACTAGCAATAAAACTATTCAATCTCTGTGAAATGTGCAACTACTTATGTCAGACGATGAGCAGCACCATGTAATATCATGTACCAAGTATAACGAAGAAAGGGAATCACTTATACACACAATGCTTTATTATGACCAAGAATTTACTACATTCTCAAAAAAAGAACAATTCCTAATATTTTTCACGAACAGAAGTCCTGAATTAATTTCCAAAATATGTCACCATCTTTACAACTTTAAATGAATTCTGTATCTTACCATAGTCTCCTCATATATTATTTCCATGTCACATGATTTCTAAAAAAATGTTATAATGTACATCCTTCCTGCGTGATATGTATCTATATTTCTTGTACCTGCTGTGTTTATATTTGTAGTTTATAGAATATTGCCACTGTTTCTTCATGGAATGCTATGCAATAAATATCTTATCTTATCTTATCTTACCTATGAACGTCTTTGTTTTAGTCTTACAGTTTCCTTTTATGTATAGCTCTGATCATTTTACGTTAACGATAAGAAAACTTTTCAAACCCACCGACCCACCTTCTCCCCGTCACCTTCACTACATCACATTACGTGTTGTCAATATAAAACAGTTGTACGCATGCCATTACGACACATACATATACGGTCTTAGAGACCGCTTTGCAGCACAGGAAGAGGGCTGACCTGGATTTTCAAATAATTAGCCCTCTTCCGTTCAGTGTCGACCCAGTTGTGCGAGTGACATGTGAAGTTTGATTGACATGCCAGTCACGTGCACGCTGGCGCGCTAAATCTCGGTCACGTCGGAAGTCATGGAGTAAACATCGTATTCTCAACGCTTACTCCACTGTCTACGAACAACATGTGACGAGAAAGTACTGTAGGCTTGGTCCAGGAGCCCGGACAACTAGTAAGTAATGAATATAGTTGTACGCCTCCTTTAGCAATATTCCAGCAACATCACGGCGGGGGATACAGCAAATAATCTTCACACATTGAGCTCATGTTGTGAATCGAACCCGGACCTTTGACGAGAAGAACGAAAGCTTTAACCACTAGGCCACCTTACTGACCATAAAACAACAACCTCTATTATCTTTTCACATTGTGAAGACATTACCTTCAGAATGAGAGGTCAGAATCTATACCAACTAAGGGTGTAACGATTAACTGATTGAGTTTTCGTCATGTTGCAAAAAGATAACACATTTGGGGCGTTGGAATAGATCAATAGATGAAAATATCCTCACGGGTAAAAAGAAGACATACCAGGAGCTTTCGAACATTTATATCTTTGACATCATAACATATCTGGAGAGTAAAATAGACATTTGTTGAGGAGGTCTTTGTAGGGGAAGTGATGCGGTATCGGAAGAGTGTTGTAGAGGTAGGGATCTTTGTAGAGGAAGTGGTGCAGTAGTGGAAGGGTGTTGTAAAGGTAGGGATCTTTGTAGAGGAAGTGATGCGGTAGTGTAAGGGTGTTGTAGAGGTAGGGTTCTTTGTAGAGGAAGTGGTGCGGTAGTGGAAGGGTGTTGTAGAGGTAGGGTTCTTTGTAGAGGAAGTGATGCGGTAGTGGAGGGAGTGGGTGTTGTAGAGGTAGGGTTCTTGTGTAGAGGAAGGGTGTTGTAGAGGTAGGGGTGTAAGGGTGTGATGCGGTAGTGGAAGGGTGTTGTAGAGGTAGGGTTCTTTTTGTAGAGAAGTGATGCTTTAGTGGAAGGGGTGTTGTAGAGGTAGGGTTCTTTGTAGAGGAAGTGATGCGGTAGTGGAAGGGTGTTGTGAGGTAGGGATCTTTGTAGAGAAGTGGTGCAGTAGTGGAAGGGGTGTTGTAGAGGTAGGGTTCTTTGTAGAGGAAGTGATGCGGTAGTGGAAGGGTGTTGTAGAGGTAGGGATCTTTGTAGAGGAAGTGATGCAGTAGTGGAAGGGGTGTTGTAGAGGTAGGGTTCTTTGTAGAGGAAGTGATGCGGTAGTGGAAGGGTGTTGTAGAGGTAGGGTTCTTTGTAGAGGAAGTGATGCAGTAGTGGAAGGGTGTTGTAGAGGTAGGGTTCTTTGTAGAGGAAGTGATGCGGTAGTGGAAGGGTGTGTTGTAGAGGTAGGGTTCTTTGTAGAGGAAGTGGTGCGGTAGTGGAAGGGGTGTTGTAGAGGTAGGGATCTTTGTAGAGGAAGTGATGCGGTAGTGGAAGGGGTGTTGTAGAGGTAGGGATCTTTGTAGAGGAAGTGATGCGGTAGTGGAAGGGGTTGTAGAGGTAGGCATCTTTGTAGAGGAAGTGATGCTGCGGTACTGGAAGGGTGTTGTAGAGGTAGGGTTCTTTGTAGAGAAGTGTTGCGGTAGTGGAGGTGTTGTAGGGTGTTGAGGTAGGGATCTTTGTAGAGGAAGTGATGCTCCACTGGAAGGGGTGTTGTTGAGGTAGGGTTCTTTGTAGAGGAAGTAATGCGGTAGTGGAAGGGGTGTTGTAGAGGTAGGGTTCTTTGTAGAGGAAGTGTTGCGGTAGTGGAAAGGGTGTTGAGGTAGGGATTTTTGTAGAGGATGCGTTCGTGTTGAGGTATTGTAGATTATGGCGATGCTGTTGTAGAAATGGTCTTGAATAGTAAGAGGATTTAAGTGGAGGAAAGTGTCGTGCCGTTGTATTGTAGAGGGAGTGAGGCGGTCGTGCAGGAGTGATGTAGAGGAAGAAGGCTTTATAGAGGAAGGCGGTCTTTGTGGTGGAAAGGGTTTTGGAAGATAGAGTTATTATAGATGAAGGTGTCGGATTTGAGGATATGGTCTTGGCCATCTCATAGTCAGATACTATGCTACTCATTTTCGATAGTCACACAAGGTAACTGTGCAGTAGATAGAGTTGAGACATTTCCTGGACAAGCTGCTCATCCAGAAGGTATTTCTTTTCTTCCATCTTGCCATCCAACATGGTCGTTCTACAAAGTAGGCTGTAATACATTGATCAATCACACGCTATAGTTCATCTAGCCTCCACTAACCTCCGTACGTATCACATCTAAACTGGTTGTGTGTTCTCCATCACCTGTATGGTTCTGGGCATTATAATCCTGTATATTGGTGCCGTCGCCGAAATCGGGCGGAAACCAACGCCTCCAGCAGGATACTGGTTGATGTGGGCTCCAGGAGAGACGCTGATATGTTGTGTCACGCAACTCTCTCTTTCTGTGTATCGATTTGTGATAAAACTGCCAAACACATGGCACAGGCAAGTTTTCTATATCAATTATCTCTGTCTCTAATTGACATGTAAAACTGCAGATCTATATTTCCCACTCAGACAAGGGTAGTAAACTGTTTTGATGACAGAATAATGTGCGGGATGGAATGTGAACTACACGACTCTCTTCTATTGTATTGTACAACGGATCCATTTTTACATACACAATGCCATGTACATGTTACGTATACGTGGCTTTTACTGGATCTAACAATCGCCATCGCCGCATCACAAGAACGTGTGTTCAGCGCTAGACTAACGCTTAGTCTCTGAATATGTATAATTTTGTATGTAACAAATAAACCCATTTAAATTGAAAAGGGGGCTTTAGCATTGCAGAGAGGGTAGTCTGTAAGGAAATCAATATGGTTCAGGGACTATGAGACAGACTAGTACAGCACGTGTGTATCATTCTGTGTAGGCAAATGCGAGTGATTGAGTGAGTGAGTGAGGTTGTACACCGTATTTAGCAATATTCCATCAGCATAAAGGCGGGTAACCCTCACTGTACCCATGTGGAGAATCGAACCAGGGCCTAGATTTTCGAAGCTCTCTTAGTGCTAAGATAGTCGTAAGTTAATGTTGATGTATGGCACTTACGACTATCTTAGCGCTAAGAGATCTTCAAATATCTAGGCCCTGGACCTTTGGCAAATATGAAGTAGTGATAACCAATTACAGTATAGTATAACCAATTGTATGTAACATGAATGAACATAATCCACGTTTAGTGTAATGTGGCATTCAACTCTTTATGTTTATTCATGAGAAAACTTGTTCACGTGAAGGGAGGGAGCTGTAAATACGCAGCTGTAAATATATTGAGTGAGTGAGTGAGTTTAGTTTTACGCCGCACTCAGCAATATTCCAGCTATATGGCGGCGGTCTGTAAACAATCGAGTCTGGACCAGACAATCCAGTGAGCATGAGCATCGATCTGCGCAATTGGGAACCGATGACATGTGTCAACCAAGTCAGCGAGCCTGACCACCCGATCCCGTTTGTCGCCTCTAATTACAAGCATAGTCGCCTTTTGTGGCAAGCATGGGTTGCTGAAGACATATTCTACCCCGGATCTTCACGGGTCTGTAAATATATAATGAATTATTATGATAATAAAGTATATTATAGACCCGTGAAGATGCGGGTTAGAATATTGGTCTTCAGCAACCCATGCTTGTCGTAAGAGGCGACGAACGGGATCGGTGGTCAGGCTCGCTGACTTGGTTGACACATCCATCGTATCCCAGTTGCGTAGACCGACGCTCATGATGTTAATCACTGGATTGTCTGGTCCAGACTCGATTATTTACAGGTCGCTACCATAGAGCTGGAATATTGCTGAGTGCGGCGTTAAACAACAAACAACAAACAAGCATATGGTTTTACCTCTTGCATGTAAGATATCTTTGACGTACATCTTAAAGTGATAGTTAAGTATGTTTATTGGTAGGAGAATCCTTTCCAAGTGTCACTGCCTACAGTTGAGGTGGTGATAAGTCACGACTGTTGGTTGTCTTAAATTGTATTTAGATTTCAATAATGAGATGCGTCACATGTATCAACATGTCAAGATATAAATCATGATGTCAAAAATATATATTTATATAAAAGTATTCGTCAACTGCGTGTGTTGTTTGTGCACGTAAACTTTCCCACGCTTTCACAGTCTCACAATATCATGTCTTTCTTAGGTAAACAACTAAAGTCAACTCTAATTAATGACCCAATGAATATTTTTGCATAAGCACTTAAAACTTCTGAATGACTTCCGATCCTGCCTATATAATTAGACAGACGGCAGGGAAATGCAATTTGAGCACCAATGAATTTAGCGGTATTATATGCCAGCCCAACGAACAAATATAGGAACACAATAGAAACCAGTAAGTTGATGAATGTTATTTGTTTGTCACAGTCAGCAATAGCCAGGCCTATTCATTAATCAGGTTGACAGCATGAAAGCCACCGGGGTATGGCGGTGCAAACCCAGCCATTGTAACCACCCAATCCATATTTGTGGATTCACAAACATCCGGGGCATAGGGATCGAATCCCTGACTTGAATAGCCACATGGTGACGGCGTATATGTTGGTGAATGTCCGTAAGTCGGTGGGCGTGAAGGTTGGCGATTGTTGGCGTGAGGGTTGGCGATTGTTGGCGTGAAGGTTGGAGATTGTAGGCGTGAAGATTGGCGATTGTTGGCGGGAAGGTTGACGATTGTTGGCGTGAAGGTTGGCGATTGTTGGCGTGAAGACGATTGACGATTGTTGGCTTGAAGGTTGGCGATTGTTGGCGTGAAGGTTGCGCGTTTTAGGCGAAAGGTTGGTTGTTGGCGATTGTTGGCGTGAAGGTTGACGATTGTTGGCGTGAAGGTTGCGATTGTTGATTATTGCGTGAAGGTTGACGATTGTTGGCGTGAAGGTTAGCGATTGTTGGCGGAAGGTTGGCGATTGTTGGCGTGAAGGTTGAAGGTTGAAAGGTTGGAGATTGTTGGCGTGAAGGTTAGCGATTCTTGGCGGCAAGGTTGACGATTGTTGGCGTGAAGGTTAGCGATTCTAGGCGTGAAGGAAAACTGGCGATTGTTGGCGAAGGTTGAAGGTTAGCGAGATTGCGGCGTGAAGGTTGGCGAGATTGTTGGCGTGAAGGTTGGCGATTGTTGGCCGTGAAGGTGAGCGATTGTAGGCGGGAAGGTTGGCGATTGTTGGCGTGAAGGTTGGCGATTGTGAGCGTGAAGGTTGACGATTGTTGGCTTGAAGGTTGGCGATTGTTAGCGTGAAGGTTGACGATTGTTGGCGTGAAGGTTGGCGATTGTTGGCGTGAAGGTTAGCGATTGTTGGCGGGAAGGTTGGCGATTGTTGGCGTGAAGGTTAGCGATTCTAGGCGGGAAGGTTGGCGATTGTTGGCGTGAAGGTTAGCGATTCTAGGCGGGAAGGTTGGCGATTGTTGGCGTGAAGGTTAGCGATTGTTGGCGTGAAGGTTAGCGATTCTAGACGGGAAGGTTAGCGATTCTTGGCGGAAAGGCTGGCGATTGTTGGCGGGAAGGTTGGCGATTGTTGGCGTGAAGGTTAGCGATTCTAGGCGGGAAGGTTAGCGATTGTGAGCGTGAAGGTTAGCGATTGTTGGCGTGAAGGTTGGCGATTGCTGGCATGTAAGATGTTGATTGTAGGCTTTTATGTTGAGATTGTTGGCGTGAAGGTTGGCGATTGTTGGCGTGAAGGTTGGCGATTGTTGGCGTGAAGGTTGGCGATTGTTGGAGTGAAGGTTGGCGATTGTTGGCATGTAAGTATTGATTGTAGGCTTTCATGTTGGCGATTGATGGCGTGAAGGTTAGCGATTGTTGGCATGTAAGATGTTGATTGTTGGCTTTTAAGGTGGCGATTGTTGGTGTGAAGGTTGGCGATTGTTGGCAAGTAAGATGTTGATTGTTGGCTTTTAAGTTGGCGAAGGTTGGTGATTGTTGGCGTGAAGGTTGGCGATTGTTGGCATGTAAGATGTTGCTTGGCGGCTTTTATGTTGGCGATTGATGGCGTGAAGTTTGGCCATTGTTGGTATGTAAGATGTTGGTTGTAGGCTTGTAAGTTGGCGATTGATGGCGTGAAGGTTGGCGATTGTAGGCGTAAAAATTGGCGATTAAATTGTTGGCGTGAAGATTGGCGATTGTTAGCATGTAGGATGTTGATTGTAGGCATGAAGGCTGGCGATTGTTGGCATATAAGATGTTGATTGTAAGCTTTCATGTTGGCGATTGTAGGCGTGAAGGTTGGCGTGAAGGTTGGCGATTGTTGGCATGTAAGATGTTGATTGGTGGCTTTTATGTTGGCGATTGATGGCGTGAAGGTTGGCGATTGTTGGCATGTAAGATGTTGATTGTAGGCTTGTAAGTTGGCGATTGATGGCGTGAAGGTTGGCGATTTTAGGCATGTAAGATGTTGATTGTAGGCATGAAGGTTGGGGATTGGATTGTTGGCATGAAGATTGGCGATTGTTAGCATGTAAGATGTTGATTGTAGGCATGAAGGTTGGCGATTGTTG